TGGCAGAGGACTAATTATTAAAGTGTAACAAGTAATTATTAGTGTAAAAAGTTACACTAATTATTAAAGTGTAACAAGGAAGTAAAATATCAGACAGCATTTTTTTATCTGAGGGAACAAAGGGAAGGAGAAAAAATATATATAAATTTGTGACTAATGAAAGACTGAAGAGCCATGGGTTCACAATGCCAATGGGTTAAAAAATTCCCTGGTAAAGACAAGCAGAAAACTAGAATGTCATTGCAATCTGAGACAGAAAACTCCAACAACTCAAAATGGATGCTACAAAATCAATTCATATTTGCTTAGAAACAGAAGCTCACAAAGATGGACAGTGCTCTGATACTATAGACATGATTAATTAAAAATAAATAAAAAGAAATAAGACTGCAAGAAATATCTAAGTCCTGATGATATGAAGAATCCAGACAAGCAAAACTAGTGCAACCTCTATGCTGTGACAACCAAAGGAAAAAAATCCAGATAATTATGTCATTCTGCAAAAACTTCCCAGTACACTGAGGAAAGTGAATGAACATTTATTGAAGTTGAACTGGTTGTACAAAACTCTCTGCTTCGAGGAATATTATTTGTTGTCAAGACTACTGGTTTTGGCCCTGAGTTCTCTTCCATTGAGGCCTGTAGGTGACTGCTGGGCAGGGAAGACTTTCATCTGGATCATTAAAAGCAGAGCATGGTTGCTCTTTGTGTTAGGTTGCTGAGAGCAGCAGTTCTGTTTAAAACATCTGGTCCTCACACATTCAGTAACTGTATCTTTACTGGGTGATAATTTTGCTTCTAATTCCTCTTTGGAGCCCTTGTATCCCTTGGTCAAACGTGTTTGTAACTGACACATATCAGAAAAGAATTTGGGAGCAAGAGAAATGCCATGTAAAGTTCTGTGGAAAAAAAATGCTTGAATTTAAAATGATCAAAGCTTTCAGATTTGCTCGCTATTTATACTTGAAAGGTATGTGACATATTTCTCCTTCAAGCAAAGAGTGACAAGAGTATTAGATGTGAGCTCTGGTGACCAGGTTTATACAACAGGCAGAAGTGGGCTACCTGAAACTTTGATTCTTGTGCCCTTGTAATCATTTTTCTATTCAGCTGAGGAATTAAATCTAGTGATTTAATTTCTTTGACCTTCAGTTTCCCTGTTAGTAAAATGTAGATAATGTTACCTAGCCAGCTTTGACAGAAGTGTTAAGAAGAATGTATGGATTCTTATTTCTGGAACCAGTATTTCAATATTTCAGTTTTCCATTTGCTTATGATGATTCATAGCAAATTTTCAAACATGTATCAATAGATCATAAGATAGCTAATTCTTTTCAAATTTTTTGCAGAGGGTTATAAATTCATGTTTATTTCAAGAATTCTAAGCATATTATAACATGTAAGAGCTGTATTGATATAATTTATTTTACAAATAAAAGGAACTTTTAGTGATTGGCTAAAAATTTTCCAGATAGTAAGTATTCAAACATTCAGTCTTAACCTTCCAATTATACCTCTTTCCAGTGTGGAGCTCCATAAAAATAATAAACTGCATTGTCATTGTTGTGCTTCCTGTCAGTATCTCCTGCTTGGTCAATGTGTATTTATCAAAATCCTTGTCTTGTTGATATGTGACTGCTGTAGCATTGTGGTGGCTTCTGTCAGATAATGCAGCTGTCTTGAGCTCCCACATATAAGAAAAAATACAGCTATAGCCCTTTGAAGAACTCTTATAAAATGTTTCTAATTCGACACATATGAGAGAGTGCCAGAGGGATTTGTTCATTGTCACAGATCTTCAGAGCTGAATTTCTGCAACAATTTGCTGAAGCACATAGACAACAAGAGGCATTTATGACTGCATGTGAGATAAGAGATGTGCTAGATCTGAAGCATCAGAAATAAGAAACAGTGGGAAACAGAAACATCCTTTATTTCAAGACAACTAAACTTAGTGTTTATCCACGGCATTCAGGCAACAAATACTTAATATAATGTTCAAAAGGAAACAGTTTAAAGCATACTTTTACAAGAAATTTTTAACCTTATCTTTAGTCCAGTATGAACAGATGTTCCTTTAAAATAGTGTATCTAAATGGCAGATAAACTTGTCATTTTTTGGTGATAGACTAGACAGTGGAAAAGTAAAGTTTTGCTTCTTCATGTAATAAGGTTCTCTTCTGGGACAAGCAGGTCCCATGTACCTTGGAGTGTTCTGTTGAATGAGCTGTACATGATGAACTTTTTAACCAGGTATCACTTACATGCAATGTGACAAGTTGTGCCATGAACAGCCAATCTAATGAAACCTAGTTTCCAGTGTCTCTCTCCCTAATTTTTTCCCTTCATGTTGACTGGTAGATGATGATCTTGTAAGTCTTTCTGTGTATAAAGATTTCATAGAGTGTCTATTCCCATTTGTAGTCCTCTTTTCCTGAAATTTGGTAAAAAAATTCCTCAGATCTTCTATGGTTTTGTCCAGTTTGCTTAAAATTGTTCTGAAGCACAAAAGATCTTTCAAGGGAACAGACATTGCACATAAATACTACTTTGTCAGTCTCTTTTTTTTCAGAAACCAGTCTAAATGCAGTATTTAGAATTTTCACTAAAAGAAATCCACGTCAGAAGGACTACTTGTATTAACTCCATCAGAATATATAACATTGCAGTATTAAAATAATTGGCAAAAACCAGCAAGTTAAAATGCTGCAGAAAATGCAGTAAAAATGCCAAATTAAGGTTACTGAATCTAAATTAATGTTTTCTTCTCTGGTATTTATAAAGCTCCATGTTACATGTGAAGCCAGGTGTACTGTGAGCAAGCTACAGGAAAATGACATGCTCAATATACTTAATGTCTCAGAGTTGGCTTAAAAAATATTGAATGCATTTCACAGATTTCACAGAGTATTCTGTGCTGGAAGGGACCCACAAAGATCATGAAGTCCAGCTCTTAAGTGAATGGCCCATAAGAGGATCAAACCCACAACCTTGGTGTTATTAGCACCATGCATCTGAACTAAGTTCCTATTTTCTAAAGTTTTATTAGGAGCCCGCACTCAAAGAGTAGACATGGATTATCGAAACCATCCCTGGATAAATCCCTGCAAAATCTGATCCATGCCGGTTGTGTTGTAAACAGAGATTGGACCAGGTGACCTCCAGAGGGACCCTCCTGACCTAAATAAATCTATCATCTGCGACCAAAAAGAGCTGACCTATAAAGTATATGTAATCTGTATGCTTTAAATTACCTGAAATTACTTCTGTATAAATCAATTCTATCCTTTAAAGCTGTGTTAGCCTTTATTAAACCAAAATAATATTTATCATAATACTTTATAAATCTGTACATGGTCTATTTAATAGCTAGGCTAGCTGACAATTATTTTGTTATCTATAAAAATAAGAAATTAGAACAGATCTAAATTTTAGTCATATTGGGTATAATCTCACTTTAGATCCTGAGAAAGGACAGAATTGTATTATTTTCACAGTATCTAGAAGATTAACGAGAAAATGGCATATTCAGTGATAGACAATGTGATACAAAACAGCACTTGCAAGAGAAATGCAAGAAGAATTCTACATCAGTTGTTACTGAATTTAGAGAATGAGGTTGTCATTCATGACATACAATAGTTCATCGTGTATTTCTTTTGTGGGGGATGGATAGTATAAAGTCCGAAATATTGTCTTGCTTATTCAGAATGTAAACACGGAGGTGTGCAGAAAATAGTGTTTCCTGATTTGGAAATGTAGTTTATCAACGTTTAATCAGTATAGTTTGAAGAAAAAAATATAAGACGTGAAGAATAAGTCTGTAAATACTTTAGGGAAATGGGGTGGTGTTACAAAAGGAGAAAATAGCTCTCGTCTATAACAGAGAGGGAATAGTGTCCTATCACTCGTATTTCACGCAAACACAGTGCCATGTGGAATGAAATTAGCAAACGTGCAGAATTGAATTGTGAACAACTAGAGGATAGCTACAACAGCCATTAGAAAAACATTTGTAGATCCTAAAGTTTATTAGATGACAGACTAATTTGTCAAGGGAAGTTCTCAAGTACAAACATTAGATAAGAGTAGCAATAGCAGGTCAAACTTTATTATATGAGATTCTCTAGCATTATAGCAGGGGAATGTAGATTCCAGTTCTAGCACATAAGGTCTTACAAATACAAAACAGAAGCAAAATAGTGGACAGAAGGATAGAAAACATACTCCATTATTCATCAGATACATGAATAAGAAGTTTTGCAACTACCAATGAATATATATTGCTTAAGCAGGCATCCTTCTCCTATATGCTCTAAAACAAAACAAACAAACCAGCCAAACCCCCCACACACTCCCCAAGAAATTAACAGTTTAAAATGCAGCCTGCTCCTTGAGGGTGTTGAATAATTATTAACTATGCTTTGGAAAGTCACAAAATATATTGATAGAGGCAGCTGTCAGGACCGAATTCCTCCATATTCTGTAGAAATGCTGCAAAATAACCTATATATATATAGATTTATTTTCTTCAGGTTATATATATGTTTGGTTTGTTGAGACTAAACCTGAAGTGTTGCAGAATCCAGTGCCTAATTCAATTAGACTGTTATTTAGTAAGTTATATTTGAATAACCATTTGAATAAACAGCTTTGCACTTCTAATGTATAATTAAGGTTACATGTCTCTATATTGTAGTATTCCCCATTGGAACAAAAATAAGAGATACAGAGTAGTCTCAAATCAAATGTAAGATCTATCAGCTGTTTTCTGAGATAGATTTTATGGTCTGATTAAGTACTCACTAGGTCACTCTAAACTGTGTCTGGGAAAGGGAAGAATTTATTCATGGTTCTATTTTACGTATAACATTTTTATCCATATGCACCATATTTATAGTCTGGTTTTGTCTTGAGCTGAACTAGTGGTCTAATGAACTAAGTTTAACTCAGTTGATTGTGGAATTGTTAATGCAGTGTTTCTCTCTTCCTCTCTACAGTATGCTGGCTGGCTGGTTCTTTGGGTTACGTGGAACGTCTTTGTTATCTGCTTCTATTTGGAGGCTGGGGACCTTTCGAAGGTAATTTACCATTGGATAATTCAAGCCATCAGCACTTTGTTAACATGCCCCAGTCAACAACAGATTGTGCTCTGTTTTACTCATCCTTTTCGTGTTATCAGGAGTGTAGTAGTATGATGGAAATTTGGAATATTCTGGAGCGTTAGAAATTTTTAAACTAGAAAGTAATGAGCATATGCATTCTGATGCCCACAAAAATAATAGTATATATGTTTTAAAAGAAAATTTCTTCTTTTTGCCCCTCTCAGTAGTCTTGCAGTGCAAATTTCACCCCTGTGAGAGACATTAATTAATACTCTCATGAATACAAAACATTGCCATCTCAGGGATAAACAAATATTTATTGTACTATTTAGCTTGCTGTTACTTAGCTGGATTCGATTCAGGGTTCTTACATCATGGCATAACAATTACAAAGGAAGGGGTCTTTCATTAAATTAAGTTGTAAATGGAGATGCCAGAACAGATTTCCTTTTGGCTGCAGCAGTGATTTTTAGGTTTGTGCTTATGGTAGTAATGTTATGCTTGAACACTTATACACAGTAAAAATCCATAGGAAAAATATATTTTCCCAAGAATCACATATTTATAGGGTTTTATTGACACTGCAAGTGATAACACATAAAGTGGCAGTTGGTAATGGCTCAATCCAACATTTCAACCCAAAACTTCTACTTTCTAAGGTGTTCCCAGAAAGCTGGCAATTTGTGGGATAAAAGATTAGCAGTGGCAACAAATTATTTTTTTAGAGTAATACACTTCTAAGTATTGTTGCCCGTGCTGAATTATGCTCACAGTGCTATGAACTGACCATCAAGGAGAATCTCATGTGTCAAACAGATCACATTCCATTCTTGACTTAGATTTTTAATAGGGAGTTTAGCCCAACTGTAAATTAAAGATGTAATTCTCTGATCCTTTGTGAGTTACTGATATCTTATGATACAGAAAGTTAAACACAATTACAGGGAGAATGAATGGGGCAAAGATACTTCCTTACCTGTATTTTGTTTCAAATCACCCCCAATGTACAAAAGCTACTGGAGACAAGAGTATTTCATCCCCATGTATTCTGTTTCTTCAAAAGATACTGACTTCAAAAAGGATCAGAATTTCATTTCCTGAGAGTGTAAAGTACTTTTCTGCAGGTAAAACATTACACTTTCTTGGTTTTATATCTTCAATCTCATTAAAAGTTTGGCAAAAAACATAGTAAATAAAAGAACTTGCCTATCTTTTTTTTTGGTTAAAATACCTTCTTTATTGCTAAGTGAACTAATGTACATAACAAACTCAGCACCTGTTGTACAATTATACTCAATCCAATCCGCCCTCTTTCCACCCACTTGTTTCAACCACCTGCATTCCTACAGTTGTAAATGTTGGGATGCTTATCTTGTCTGGGGAAGTGAAAGAGGATGAAAAAGAATGGAGAAAATAGAGGCAGCTGTTTGAGTAGTGTCTTAATGGGTATAAAAACAGCTTAGAAACACTAGTAAGTGCTATTTGGAATAAAAATGGGCTACAAACGGTACCTAAACCTTGAACTGATTTTTTTTCTGTAGTATAAGAATGTGTCATCTAGAGTTTTCCCAACCAACCATAGAGTTCAGGCCTATGCTTGAATGCAGTTAAATTTTTTATTTGGTCTTTAGAGGTATTATTTGTTCCAGTGATATGATTTTCCTTGAAATACCCAGTAGAGTGTATTCCTTGCACTTCAACTGGCTTTCAGAGCAACAGAATTGTTAAAAAGAGAAAGCAAAGGAAAAGTTCCTACAAAATGAATTCAAGAAATAGGTAGAGATCAATTCTAAAAATGGTCTAATTCACATTTGAGGCATCACTCTCCACTCCTTTTCAACTGTGAATAGTATGTCAAAGCTCCCCTACATGATCAAATATTCTGCAAGATCCCATACCCTCCTGTTCTATGAGGATAAACCTTTTCAGAGTCTCTGGCTGTTTTACTGATGTAGGTTTCTTACAAAATGGATCACTGTAAGTGTTACGTCTCTCAGTCATACTCATAAATCTTGCACTGAATCTTCTTTATTATTTATATTTTCATCTGGGAATAACTGCAACTTTAAATCTGTAGTGATAATCCTACATATTTTGTTTATTTGGAATGGCATGTAGAACCTTGAGAAAAGCTCTGGGTCTGAATTGGCTCTAAACAGAGAATAAAAATAACCTTTAGGCAAGTACTAGGGGGATGCCTCTGAGGCTGTAAACTGTAAGAGAGGATCTTGTGCAGCATGGCTTTAAGAATTGATGGATTAAAATTACAGCCTAATAATAGTTCAGATGGGTATAGTTTATTTTTATATATATAATTCGTAGCTCACTACTGAATAAAATAAAAGTAAGACTGGTTTTTTTGAAGTTTTGTGAACAGCTTTCATTTTACGTATGAGTACAACAATTTTTCCATCATCACCTGCTAATACAATGGAGAGGACATATTTCACTGTTATTATTAATCATTGCTTCTAATAATTATAACAAAAGGCTTGCTAACTTCATCCTTTTTTTTTATTTTAGTTGTGGGAGCATCGATCATGACATTTTTACAGTTTCTCCTTATTACACTGAAACAGGTCTGCAAAGACAGAATTTTTTAGAACAATGAGACAGGGAAATCCGTTTGCATTATACACCATTGCAATCATAGATATCTTGTGAGAAATGGCATCACACTAAGTATTTTCTATCCTCAAGGCACAGTTATCTTTGCTGAAATTCTTTCACATCAAGCTGGAATATTTATGGTTTTATAAGAAAGGTTTATAACAAAGAGGAAGTGCAATGACTTGTTCTTAACCTTGATTTTTATGTGGACCTGTGAATGAATACCTAGAAAGCCCACTTCTCAAACTTACTTTTCAGTATTACTCTTCGAAAACATTTAATTAGTCTGTGTGTTGTTTTGCTTGCTGGTGAGTGCCATACTCAGTATAAGTAGGACTTTTTGGTTTCAGGACTGGTAATATTTATTTTGGCCTGTGGCTAAGCAAATGTAGCATATGAAAAGCATAACCTCTTGTCTTGAATAAGCCACATCTAAAGTACACTAGTGAAACAAAAGAGTAAAACATAATAGAAAGCATTTCTGAGAAAAATGTAATATTTCCGTGATTTTTTTAAACTGAGGAAAAGACATAATGAGATAGATTCAGCTATCTCAGAACAACAGCAACAAAAAAATACTCATGTGATTAAGAAACAGTATTCTTGCTTCAAGGCATTTGAACGCTTCCCCTAATGATGCCTAATGATGCCTAATGATCCCACAAGGAGAATAGAAGCAGAATAAGACCGATCATACTCCTATTTTTGGTTTAGAAATGAGTAAAAATTTTTTTGCTGAAAAGAATGTGTGGCTGAGCTTGCACTGCTGCTATCATAAGCATAACGGGTGAAGATACTGCTACTGCCAGTTTCTGGAAGTCAAGGCAGAGGCTGGGCTTGGGATGTTGAACAAGGGGAACCAGCTGGGATTCAGGATCCAAAGCAGCCCTTGATGCACATGATTCCAGCCTTGATTCAGTACTTTTGGTTCTCTTTGCATGCAACCCTATTTGTGTGACCAGATACAAGAGCTCTCCTCTCACTGCTGCCTGGCTGAGCTCTGGAATTACTTTGCTGTAGTCCCTAGAGTATTATGTGTTTGTGACCAAGAAAGCACTTTTTATAAACTCATTTTAACTGTCAAAATTGGTTTATTTTCTAGTTTTGTGGCATTCTTTACATCTTCCTTATTTAGACTTAATAATATACAAATGTTACATTTAATCTATTGAATCATAAGGTTGTACTTTTATATCTTTTGACACAAAAATTTCAATTTTAAAAATCAAAAACTCCAGTATCAAGATATGCCAGAATTAAGATTGTTTGACTTCACATGATTTAGCTCGCTCTTTAGATTAATTTTTATATACCTTTTAATTACACAGTCACAACTGTATTTTTTTCTTTTTCACTATCCTTTCCTTAATCCCTATACCACATGGCCTGTTTTAGAGATGAAGGTCTGGGAGTTGAGTGACACTGCCATACTGGATCTTACTCCATGTACTGCAGCAGTGAGAAAAAAATATAGAAGTAAAACCTGCACTTCAGTTTGGATCTGAAAACATGTAGAATAAGAATATGAAAGGTTAGGTACAGAACCGTGGTACCCAAGAGCTCTAAGCACACTGGTGATATTGTGTACATGGCTCAGCATATGTAGCTGGAGTGTGGTTCCTGAAGATTTTAGTACTCATTCTACAGATATGAGTTGCAAGCTATTGTTCTAAAAAAAAAAAACTTTCTATTTGCATTCAAATTATATTACTTCCTTTCCTATATTACCCTGAACTGCAACAGGGGAACATGAAATAATAAGGAAGACTAAAAAATGAACTTATTTAAAATTGAAATGGTTAAATATGATACAAAGAACTGAATGTACCATAGTTATTAAAATGTAAGCTTAAGGAAAATTTGTAATCAAGTTGCTTCCTGCCAGAAGTTTTAATGGAAATCAAATATTTCTGACCACTTTGTCTCCTACCCACCCCAAATAACTGGAAATATAAGATAACAGACTTACAAAATCACAGACTTATTCATGTTTGAAGAGACCTCTCAAGGTCAGTTAATCCAGTTTCCTGCTCAGGGCAGCACCAACTTAAAAGTTCTATCAGGTTGCTCAGAGTTTTAGCCAGGCAAGTTTTAAAAGTCTCCTAGAATAGACATTTCACAACTTCTCTATTTCTTAACCACTGTCATTGTGAAAAAATTTCTACTGATAAGCAGCTGAAATTTCCATTGCTGAAATCTGTGACATTGCTTCTTGTCCTTTCACTGTATACCTCTGAGAAGAGTCATGCTTCATCTTTTCTAACACCCCTTTTAGGCTTTTAAATGAAGTTTAGTACTTCAGCTTTCTATTTGTCCTTTCTGCAGTTGAATTCCTATTTCCAACCGCAGACAGCTTGTTGCAGCTC